GTGCTTAGTTTCTTCCAGTTCACTCCTCGTTTGGTCTAGGGGCCTAAGTACCCACCGAGACCCAGCAGCGGTCCGCGCCACCTGGGGGCGTCCCTCAGACTTGGGCAGCAGCAGGTCTGTGCTGCCCCTGGGGGACTGTGGGACCAACCTTTAGGCTGAAGCTTCTCTGACATCGCCCCCTGGCTGATGATGGTTTCCTGGGGGCAGAGCACACGGGTACCCACCTACTGGACTGATGTCATGCCCCCCGCCCCCCGGCTCTCAGCTGACCTTCCAAAGGCACCTGGAAGCGCACCAAGCCTCACGCATCTCCTTTCCTGGGCACCAAAAAATGCTGCTGGCCCTGCCCGCTCCTCTCCCTTGGCTGGAGACTTCAGGCCGACTCCGTCGTTTCCAGCCTTCGGAATTCTCCCGGACTAAACTGGGCCTGGCCCAGCGTGCTCTGCCTTCTAGCAAGTGCCCAGCAAGGGGGAAGATGGGCAGGAAGAAGCATTTCCCCAGTCACTGCACAGAGCAATATTTCCGTGAAAGGTATGGACTTTGTCCCTCTTCCTTCCCCCCACGGAGGAGGTATGGCACTTTACCAAGCTGGCGCGTTCCTCCAGAGGTGGGCCCTCAGGGTCTGCGAACTATCATGAGGAAGACTTCACTGGAGGAAAGGTAATAAATGCCTACCGAGGCCCCAGGTTTGTACAAACGCGAAATGCAGCAAACCTTTCAGGAAGCCGCATAAATAAAAATGGATTAGTTTCCGTATACCAGTCACGGGGGTGGGAGGGGCGCGGTTACAAAGAACCGTATATTCTTGGCACTGCTTTTTGTAGAACACTCAGTTCAAAGAAGGGATCCCTTTTCAGAGGCTTGTAACGGTGCAGACACTGTTCCTTCATAGTGAGAGTGTAACTAGGCTCAGGAAAGCGGAATTTTCTTCATGGCTTTGCTGTGGGACTTTGGGCGAGTCACTGTCCTCTTGGGGCCTCAGTTCCCTTATCTATAAAGTGAATTCTTTGAAATGGTCTCTAAGGGTCCCAGATCTGGCATTCTGCGAGGATTCTGGTTATACTGTCCTGTGGGGGGTTGATGCTTTTGGAAGGTAGCATCCAGATGGTTCGGGGAAGGGGTTACCCCCCTGCCTTGTTTTTCTGGACCTTATTTTTTCCACGTTTTAACATCATGAGGATGAACTCCGCAGAGCTCGGTTGGCCTCGTTTTTCTAGTCTGTGAGAGGAGGGATTAGGTCAGCTGGCTTCTGTAGCCCTTCTGGCGCCAGCCTTGCCCACTTGGCACACAGTGTCCCCTGGCTTTCGGGACACCAGTTGGCCGTCTTGTGTTGCTGTGCCTTGCGATTGGTCTTCCCTGTCTGCACTCAGTGTGGGAACCAGCGCTCGTGGCGCCCGTGTCTGCCATCAGACTGGGCGACCCTGGAGGCGGCTTGGGGCACACCTAGCTTCCTTTCGGGGACAGGAACGTTTTGCGCCGACTTCCATTTTCTGGAGTGTTGCCAGTCTAAGGGCATCGCTGTCTAGCTTCTCTTTGCTTACAGTGCTGCCTCAGAGGCTCCGTTTAAGACGCTGTTTTCAAAATCTCTTCCTGCTGCTTCCCCTGGGTCACTGCCCAGAAACTAGCTTGCCCAAGGCTGCAACCTCTCACCTGTAGCCTCCCTGCCCTTCTTCTTCACTGGTTGGCAACCTTGAGAGTCCAAAGGAAACGGACCTCTGTCGTGGTCAACTGAGGTTACAGGAAACTAAGCCTGTGGCTCTTCTCTGCTGGTGGAAACAAAAGGGTGCCAAGCCATGCCTACAAAGATTTTGCCAATAATTCACATCTTTGGGCGTTGGAGCCCTGGATTCTGGTGCTGTAGCTCCTGGTGCCAAAGTCTGGATCTTTCCACATTGCAGCAGCACCGACACCTGCCACTCCTCAGAAGGTCTGTGGAGGAGGGACAGTGGTGGTGCCCTCTTGCTGGGGGCTGCGATCTTAAATTGAGTGCAATAGGGTTTGATTGTAACCATTATTTCAGGATAAGTACTGTGTTTCCTTAATCGGCATACTTTCTAGAACCATTGCGAAATAGATTTTATTTTTAAATGTCCTCAGCATTGCAGAAGATACCATTTGTAATAGCAAACGAAGGCTGGAGGCTCAGTTCCTCTGGGTTTCAAACGGCTGGCAAGGCTGGCTCGCAAATTCCGAAGTTTGAAGGCACCTTTCTGAAAAGCAACCTGTGTGTGTGACCACCTGGACCTCACTGTTAGGGGTCCTAGGGAAAACTTCCACGAAAAGGGGAGACCTGGTAATGAAATAGCTGTCCAATCGACCAGCTGTCCCCACCGCCCCAGCCAACAGACCCGCTGTTAGGACAAGCCTCTGCTGCAGCACGGCTCCAGCTCACTGGCAGGTGGCTGGCTGTGGGAGGGTGCCCAGGGAGCCTGGCGCTCCAGAGCTGCACGGTTGGAGCAAGTATGCGAGGGCTGAATGCCAGAGGCCAGTCCCTCACCACTCTGGTACTCAACCCCCTCCCCCCCCGCCCCGAGAAGGATGCAAGGGGTGGCGGGCAAAGAAGCCCTGGCTATTTTCTTTTACTTGGCAATGAAAGCACACGGGCTGAAGGGACCTGCAGTGGGGCCCAGGACACCAGTCTCCATCACAGGCAAGTCAGCACATTCATCCTCCCCCCTCAGTGGGTGTGGGGAGGGTCTCTGGAGCTTGGAGCTGGCATTCTGGGGCAGTTTTAGTGCTTTACATGTAGTGGGTTCGTGCCAAGTGCTACCCTTTTCCGGTAAAGGAACGGGTACCCAGCCGCTGGGTCCCCAGTCGTCCCTGTTGAGGTGGGGTTTGTTGTTACTCCGACAAGACTGCTTTGGAAGAGCTGCTTTTAGGGATTATCTTTTGACTACCCCAGGTGGGGCACAGGGTTCTCCTCAAAGCCTCACACCCAAGATCATAGGAAAGGGGCCCTATTTTCCTGCTGCTTCACAGCTCAGAACATGTACTGAATGGAATGTATTTTTAAGAGAATAAAGTCTATTTTTTTGTATTTTAAAGAAAGATTGGGAGGGCTGGGGAAGTAGCCCTCAAAAAACTCTTAATGCATCAGAGGCCCCTTTGCTGGGGGGCCTCGGTCTCTGTCAGTCCACCTCTGCTCATTCAGGCAGGTGCTCTGGTCTCACCCCTGCCCCTTGGAGTCTAGGTGCAGCAGCTTCTACAGTCCTGCTCCAAGCATGGGACCAAGGAGGCCGGACCCTGTTGCTGGAAACCAGGGCGAAGCCACGAGCAGTGACTCGGGGCTCCTTGGGTGCATGTGTGTAGTGGAAGCTGCCTGTCTGCATGTATCCTTTGGCTCGAATGCTGTCTGTTGGCTCTGCAGCACGATATGTAACCAATAAAGCTCCCTAGTTTCCATGTGCGCTGTGAGTCACTGATGCCATTTTTGTTGTCATCTGGGTACAGCTGTTCTGTGCACTGGCACAGCCCGTGTGTCACACTGTATTTTATTTAAAATAACCAACTAATTAGTGATGCCGTAAGGACTGGAAACATGCTGGGGCTTGGAGAAGGACACGCCTAGCACCCACATAACTGGACTTAAATGGAGCAATGAAACAGCTGCTAGGATTCTGAGTTTTAGGCTTGTCTGTTGTCACACACGAAACAGTGATCTGTCTCAAGGTGCCTATGCTACTTATTTAAAAAACATGTTCTAAAACACCTCACACACACCGGATCCCCCACCTGAGGTAACAATGTGAATGGCAGAACTGCGATTCAAATACAGGTCACAGTCCAAAGTCTGTACACTTCCCACCACATGCTGTTCATACCACTCACTCCTGGTGTGATTTCCCCTGCTGCTGTTCCTCGAAGACTAGGGGAAAGGCCTCTCCATCCTATCGTTAGCCCACCAACGTAACGTCCCTCAAATCTTACTAAGAATAAGCCTCATTTAGGTTAATTATAGGGAAGAATTGACTAACACGAGTAAAATCTAACAGATTATGTATGTGCGTTTATAGTAACATTGTCCATTAGGAGCCCCTGAGAAGGAACAGTTACTGTTCCCTTCTTGTAAAAATGTTTTTACCTTATATGGCAAAAGGGACTTCGCAGACATGAGTAAGGATTTTGAAATGGGGAGATGATCTGGGTGGGCCTTAAATGAAATCACAAGTATCCTTGTTTGAGGGAGACAGGACTCTAGAACAAGAAAAGCAGAGATTGGCGTAATGAGCTCTGAAGACGGAGGAAGGGGGCCACAAGCCAAGAAATACAGCCACCAGAAGCTAAAAAGGCAAGGAAATGGAATCTTCCCTCAGAGCCTGCTGCAGTAATCTGTTAGAGCAGCAATAGAAAAGTAACAATAGTTCAGTCAACTAAACCCTTGATCATCTCCTTATGTAACACTTCCTAAAACTTTTATACCAGTAGTTGGACAAAAGTGGAAAGTTAGCACATACCCATGGAGGTGACCTGGGGAGTAAAGCCTGAATGGTCTGCCAGAGACCCACCCAAACTCTGTGCCTTGTTTTATCTTAAAAATTCCAAGTCACCTCTAATACCCGTATGCTTGACCAGTAGCTTCACCCTCTTGGCACACCGTCACCCCACAGTCCCAATGGGGAACGCTCTAGTTCCACCGATCAGGTAGCCCATTGCTTCTGTGGGGTTCCCCTCAACCCTATCTTCAGACCAAAACCACTTTTTGCCTTTATATAAACATCCTTATTTAAACATGGATAAAACTGGCATTTCCAAAGGCACAACAACCTGTTAATATAAATCTAAGGGCGCCTGGGTGGCTCAGCTGGTTAAGCGACTGCCTTCGGCTCGGTCATGATCCTGGAGTCCCGAGACCGAGTCCCGCATCGGGCTCCCTGCTCAGCAGGGAGTCTGCTTCTCCCTCTGACCCTCCCCCTTCTCATGCTCTCTATCTCATTCTCTCTCTCAAATAAATAAATAAAATCTTTCAAAAAAATATATAAATCTAAAGGGGAAACAACAAAGAATTTTATATGAAGCTTTATTTTTAAAATATAAAAAACCACCACACACCAAGAGACTAAGATGTCCTCTCACGAGGCTTGCTTACCTCAGTCTTTAGGAAGAACACTGACTTCCACACTAATGGACAACTGCCTCTCTAGCTCTAAGTCCCTCAAAGGAGGCCACCTCCTTGGCCACCTGGCATCATGAGTTCCAACAGCTGGCTGGAGCCCAGATGCCAGAGTGAGTTTCTCCGTGAGATCCAGGATTGCCATGAGAGCTTTGCTTACACAGCAAAAGACTCACACATGGGGCTTCCCTCAGAACCCGTCAGTCTCACATGCTTGGGGACTGCTGTGCAGGGACGCCTGGTGTGGCCTGGCGAGGCAGGGTATACATGGCCCCCAGGAACTGGTCTGCAATCCTTCCTGCTTCTCGCAGCCCACTCAGCAGAGCGCCATGGACAGTGGCTGGGTAGTTACGGATTGTATGTTCTCCAGCAAAGAAGAGTCGTGGAATTGGCTATTTCAGGGGGAAAAAAAAAATGAGAGAAAAATCAGCAGGTTGCACATAGTAACTTTTATTTTTGTTGTGTTTGAACTGCCAAATTCTTACTGGCCTTTGAAGGCTGCTCTGCCAATCCCAGACCATCATTCTACCAAAAAGGATCTCCCTCATCAGTGGGCATTCTCCCAGAAATGACCAAAGTAGAAATGTGACAATAAAACTCAGCCAAGCCAGCCTTAGTCCTAGGGTGATGCATAACTGCATCTGTTCCTATTTATCATGGAGTGCTGGGGGATACCCAGTTCTAGGGCTTCCTCTGCCTCCTACAGTACCTACTGGGGCAGAGGGGTTCCCGACTACTCTGTTACCACAAAGAATCCAGCATTTGTTCTTACTCGGGAGCACCTTTGTTTCTCAGCTCCAGGGACAGTTCACGGGGCCCTGAGCTCTGGAGCAGGGGCATGTTCTGGAGACCCCTGGTGACTGATGCCCTGTGACGGTCCCATGAGCCATTACAAAATGGGGTGCAACTAAAAATGTTTTTCATTTTTTAGGGGAAAAAGTTTGAATAAGGAAAAAGTAATTGGTTTACCATTCTGAATATGGACTGCCTAGATTTACAGAACCAGAATCTGAGAAATCAGATACAAACAATACTGTCCCTCCCTTTTACTCTGCTCCTGGTTATGTGGACAGGTCCAAGGACAGAACAACTAAAATCTACCCCACCCCCCAGCAAAACAAAACAAACCCAAAACTGTGGCACGGTGTTTACCCCGAAAGCCCGGGATATGGCCTTTTCCCAGGGAAGCCCAGGGGGTGTGCCAGTTTCTCACCTGGGGAGCCCCTGGAATTGAGGGGCCGGGAGTGATTGGCTGAGCCATTAAATCATAGTCATTTCCAGATGATCCTGCAGCTACGTATGAATAGGAGCCCCGGGCCCAGGGGTCAGCACGCCAGCGAGACACCACAGTCTCCTTGGGCTAAAGGAAAAAGCATGAGCAGAAGTTACCACAGGGCAGAGGACAAAGCAGTCCTCTCTGGAAGGAGAAAAGCTGGGAGGTGGGGGGTGTGGATACAACAGAGCAGTAAAGAGGCAGGGGATATGAGGTAGTCAAACGATGAACGCTTCTGCTTTAAAACACACCGCAGACGGCTTCCAGGGAAGCTTCCACGTTGCCCTGCCTAGGAAATCTACAGATCCACCCAGGACTTGACCTTTATTCTCTCATTAATTCACATGAAACATTAATATACCTTCTTTCAAAGGAATCGTAAGGATCTAAAGGGTTTCTTTCAACGGGCCTAAAGAACAAAGTACAGGACGCCTGGGTGGCTCAGTCGGTTGAGCGACTGCCTTCGGCTCAGGTCATGATCCTGGAGTCCCCGGATCGAGTCCCGCATCAGGCTCCCTGCTCAGCGGGGAGTCTGCTTCTCCCTCTGACCCTCCCCTCTCCCATGTGCTCTCTCTCTCTCTCATTCTTTCTCTCAAATAAATAAATAAAATCTTTAAAAAAAAAATAAAAATTAAAAAAAAAAAAAAACAAAGTACCAAGCGATTCTTCATGAGGGAGTCTGACCACTTTGTCTAAAAGGCAGGAGCCGGAGGACTCCGCACGCAGATACGCTGGATGAGACCAGGAGGGATATGCAGCAAATAGCCTTCTCAATCCCCCAGCCTCTGTGCTTTCCTGAATCCCACACTTATACACAGACTCCAAACACTGGCATTCATGGAAACCCAGCACACCTCTTAATTCTGGCTGAAACGGTGCTGCCCAATGTAACAAGACCGTGTCAAACCCTGCCCTAGTGTGAACCTTGATCCCCACTTGCCTCTACCCACTTACTTACCTGGGGCACCGCACTGCTACCAAAAATCCCTTTGAGGATGGCCAGGCATCGGCCGACAATCACATCATCACTTATGTTTTCCATGATGCCGGCAGCTTCTCCTGCCACCAGTGCCAATAGTATTGGAGCTAGAGAAACAGGAAGAACAAGTCCAGGCTTTTCATACAGACTTCTCTCAAGAACATCTTCATCAGGCCCCACATTATTCTGGGCACTCTGAAATCTGATGGCCAATAGACATGTGATACTTGTGCTAGAGACGTTATGTTTCTGAAACTGCGACTCAAAATCTATCCCTTAGAAGGCAGCTGGCAAACTCTCGTCAGTAACGTGTGACTCAGGTACTTAGCCACTTACAATTTTGCAGAATACAGAAATCCTGAAGACGTAATTCAGACCTTGCTAAGAAAACCAACAGGCATTCCTATATTTAAGGCATAGAATCCTTAGCCCTGACCACCTTAGACAGTTTGCTCCATGGCAAGGGCTACATCCTTTTAACTATTCCAGGTCCCTCCACGCCCGTCACCACCTTCACTCACCCATTTGGTGACTATTTAGGCAAGAGACTTGTGTAACAGGCATAGTATGAGATGCTGCGATACGAAAGCTATATACTAGGCTATATAACTCCACGGATCAGTAGGTAAGTATCACGTAGCTATGATTATGAACGGATAAAAGCAATGAAGAAAAACAAAGGATACGGAGAAAAGAATACAGGGACTTAATTTAGATTTGAGGCAGTGGAAGTATGTGTGTCCTAAAAGCCTCTTTGAAACAGTGGCAGTTAGGTCAAGACCAGAAGGGCTGAGCAGAGTACGCCATATTGGGAAGGAAGAGAAGAAAAAACTCCCCACAGTACATGCAGAGGCCCTGAAGGAGAAGACACGAGATTTACACACACACACAACACACACACACACACAATACATAAACATTTTAAGCACCACAGAGAAGAGCAATCCAATTACAGAAGAAACTAAAACAGGAGGTAGGAGTTTGATATATACATTCTGAAGGACGTGAGCAAAGACTGAGGGGCCAGATACAGAAGTCTGAGAGTAAGGAATACAAGTTTCCCCTTATGGGAAGCTTCCCTGGTTCTGTGCCTCCTGCCTGGGTTGATTCTTCTTTTTACGTTCTCTTTTGCAGCGCCCTGGGCTTTCACTCTGACCCTCTACTTGTGGCCCTGTTCCTAGAGAGCTCACCTACTTCATGTGTTCCCCACTAGGATATGAACTCCTTGACGGCGGGTATTTTTTCCCCCATGTCCCCAGCACCTACCAGGAATTTCTGGAATTGTTGGTTGAATTAATGAAAAATCAAGACATACATATTTGAGAAAACCCAGAATATTCCTAATTCTCTATTCCTGTAAGGATATGAAAAAGATTAAAACCAGGAAGCAGTTACCTTTATAGAGGTTCCAGAAGAGGAAGAGCTCACCCCTGCTGGCCGTCGTACTGCCAACATGCCCAAACAAATTGACACTTGGATCCCAGAACACACGGTCAAAACACAGTACTACCTGTGGTAAAAAAAAAAAAAAAAAAAAAAGGAGCCCAGGAACTGATGGCAGGGCTCAGAGAGCACGGCTTTAAGCATAGCTGTGCCTCAATAGGAAAGACTTCTCAGACCTTACTAAAGTTTCTTCTGCTCTCAAGATAAGCTTAGAAATCCCTAGCATGAATGTATTACTTAAAACAACATTTAGAGTTGTCTGTGTTTTTCTGGGCTTAGGTCCCAGAAGACTTGGTCCTCATATACATATAATTAGGCACTGAAATGAATGAACTGACAGGACTCTCACCCTGATCTCCCAGAGCTGAGAGCATAGCAAAATGTACAAAAACGCAAACCCCTCTCCTCTCTTACTGCACAACAAGTATGTGGAGAGATGCCCAGGGCAAGTTACCTTGTTAAGGTTGCCAAATCCCATCCTTTGGACTGCAGATGTTTTCCACTCAGGAAGAGGCGGCACGAACTGAACGGCTGGGGGCTGCTGCTTCAGCACACCCAAGGGGAGGGTACAGAGAACTGCATCACACTTATAAATAAAGGTCTGGCTTGTGGAGCGGGTATTCACAGCGATCACTTCACACCCTAGAGATGTCAGAGGGAAAAGACCTTACTGGCGATAAGGATGGTACTGAACAGTCAGTGCATGGTAGAATCTACGCACTCTCTCAGTTAATTCTTACCATAAGTGTATGGAGTCTGTTCTCCTCACTTTTTAATAGAAGAAAACCAAGGTGGCAGCAAAGTAACTTCAGACAAGGCTACATGAGTCCCAACTGCCAGGATTCAAATGCTAATAGTCCACCTTAGAGTCCTGGCCCTTCACCACCGTTCTTGTCTTACCTTCCTGATACACTGGTGATCTTCTGGGCTAATCTAAGAGCCTTATTTTTTTACCAAGGGTTAAGTAAATTTAGACCACAGTGAAGAATAAAGGTCTGTAACAATGAAAGCAGTGCCTCTCCACGGTGGTTAGGTGCTTACTAAGGACCAGGAGAGGAACGACCCCAGAAGACCACGGTGAGGATCTACGGGATGCCGCTGGGGTGCAGAGCGTGCTGTTCTGGAGAAGGCACTGTGACGCCTAGCTTGCCAGAGTCTGAATAAAGCTCAGAGTGGACCACAGAATAGGCACTGAAAAAAGGTTACTGTTATTCTTCCTCATTTGTGTTTTTTTCCTTAAGTACCTATTTACAGAATCTCAGAAAAATACATAAACAGCTCAAAATTGGTATGAGAGCTCAGTTCATGTCCACTTTCTCACTGTTCTTCACCTGCCTGCAAATGGCTATTTAAAGGCTATAGGTCTCAACATCAGCTAGAAGCTGCAAATGAAACGGAAATCAAATGGAAAAGGGTTTCAGGGATTGTAAAAAAAGAATATCTGCAGTAATCTCGGCAATTCTAGAAAAGCAGCCATGAAGGGCAAGCAAGGTTGATTGTCATATCTCTACTTGTCATGAGGGCCCTGGGGGGAGGGGCGGGGGGGGACTAGCTATCATTAAGAGCTCTAGACTATTAATTCCAAAGGTGGGTGGACAGCGGGTTCTCTGTACTCTACATTAAATGTGCCCTGAAACCAGCTACAGTGAGCACTGAGCCTTCTGCCTGTGGGAATCAGGGCAATTCCACCTTTGAAGTCTGATACTGCTCCCAGTATCAGAAACCAGACCGAGCAGTTAGCCCACCTGAACAGGAAAGGCTAGAATGGATCCAAAGAGCAAGACACAGATGGTAAAATACAAGGAGTGGGTCCCACTGTGCCGAGGCGCCAAAATCCTGGTCTTTTAAGAATATACTCAGTGGGGCCCCTGGGTGGCTCAGTCGGTTAAGCGACTGCCTTCGGCTCAGGTCATGATCCTGGGGTCCTGGGATCGAGCCCCATGTGGGGCTCCCTGCTCAGCACAGAGTCTGCTTCTTCCTCTCCTCTCCTCTCCCCCCGCCCCTGCTCATGCTCACTCTCTCTTGCTTTCTCTCTCAAATAAATGAATCTTAAAACAAAAAAAAAACAAAAAACAGCAAAAATTAGGTCCAAACTCACTGGCAGTTGTTACAAAGTAATTCAAGTACAAATTGGAAACTTGCCTCAATTTTCTGTTTTACACAATGATGGATCAGAATGTCCAAAGGCTCTATAGGCTCAATCCTTTTGTCAATGCAGATTTTTAAAATTAGGGTTCATAGTTTATATGATACGACATTTTATCAGGAAATGTACCTAACATTTTTTTCTGTAGGTCAAACTCAACAAAAGATCAGTACCGTGTTTCAGAGTAAGAGACTTATCTCCCCAGTGAAGCAGGGACGTACCCGAAGCTGTGTAGCGAACCTGCCGCACCGCTGTGTTCAATTTAATGTCCAGGCCTTCCGCTAAAGCCACAGGTACACACGAGTAGCCATTCCTCACTGTCAGATGGCTGCCAGTAAACTCAAAGTCGTCATCCTAAAGAGGAGAGAAAAGTCCAGCCATTTTCTTAACTTATGCCATACATCCTGAATTCTGTAAGATTAACACTGAAAAACAACAGTGTGGAAAACAGTCAATATTCTAAGGCAGAAATTAAAAAACCAGCACTCACTATTCAGTTACAGCTATCTCAGGAAACTAGAGAAAAAAGAAAAAATGCTTAAATATCCCTAATGGCCACCTCTGGGCAGTGAGATTAAGGCAGTTTCTTCTTCCTGAGACTGAGTTTTCTCCTCATAGTCCCACACCCAATCCCTCAGCCCTGACTATCCAAGGGAGTGGGGGATGGGATCTCTCGAAGGAAGAAGATTCAATAAATTCAGATGTTTGTTTGGCTTTTGAATGCATTACATGTTTGGCAGAATATGAGATTCACCATCCTAATCACATCTTCTTTACCTAAGAACAAAATCAGTTTTTATTTCTTAAACTTACAGGCTTGAAAGATGAGGAAGACTTCCAAAACTAAAGTTGGTAAAACTAGATAAAAACAATCTGGGATTATAAAGACTGGCCTAAGAGGATCCATACAGTAAAGAAGTCAGCATTTGGCCTGGAAGGATTCCCAAAATGATCTTATTTCTTTGAATCTACTGAAAATTATTCTGTGTAGAGAAATTTTTGAAGGCTAGTCAATTTTCTAATTTCATGAAATTTCTGGGAGAAAACACAGCATGATTTTTTTGAATTAGATAAAAATACTGGGTTGGCTGAACTTGCACTACTTTAGTGACTGATTCATCTGCTCCCCATACCGATCAGTTCAAATCACCCACATTCAGAATTTAATAAGATTACGAATGGATACATATTGAAACTTCAAATGATAAATCCGTGACGAGGAAGGGTCTAATTTAGTATTACATGGGGAAAAACAACAACAAAAACAACTGGGAATTCTCTTAAGATTTTATCACTAACAGGTCCAATCCTCTAAGTCAAACACTAAAGAATACGAAGGTATAACCTAAAGATTAAGAATGCAAACTAGGGGCGCCTGGGTGGCTCAGCTGTTAAGCGTCTGCCTTCGGCTCAGGTCATGATTTCAGGGTCCTGGGATCGAGTCCTGCATCAGACTCCCTGCTCCGCGGGAAGCCCGCTTCTCCCTCTCCCACTCCCCCTGCTTGTGTTTCCTCTCTCACTGGGTCTCTGTCAAATAAATAAAATCTTAAAAAAAAAAAAATGCAAACTAATTTTACAAGGAAAACGTACAATGGAAATGAAAATATGTGAGTAAAAATGTAACATTTACTTCTGTAGTCTTAGGTCTGGCCAAAGTCTCAGATTTAGAGATCGATCCATTCAATATCTAAGAAGCCCTGTGATTTCTCACCAGTTCAAGACTAACTCACACTTAAAATACTTAAGAATAATTTGACAAAAGATGTGTAAAACCTGTACATTGAAAACTGTAAAATATGGCTGAAAAATATTAAAGAAAACCTAAATAAATGGAGAGGGATACCATGTTCAAATCCCAATACCAATCAAAATCCCAAAAGGTATTTTTTTAAATAGAAATTGACAAGCTGATTCTAAAATTTTTATGGAAATACAGAAGACCTAAAGTAGCCAAAATAATTTTAAAAAAAAGTTGAAGAACTTACACTACCCTAATTTCAAGACGTACCATAAAGCAACAGTAATCAAGACAATATGACAGTGGCATGTGGACCAATGAATGAATAGGAAGGAGTAACCATAAACAGTCTCACACATGGTCAACTGATTTTCAAAAAAGGTGCCAAGACAAATGAAGAAAAAGGATGGTGCCAGAATAATTAATTAGATAACCATATGGAAAAATCTGAACCCTACCCTCATCTCTCATTGTACATGAAAATTAATTTAAAATGAATCATAGACCTAACTATTAGAGCTAAGTCCATAAAACTTCAGGAAGAAAACAAGAGAAAATTTAGTGATCTAAGTTTAGACAAAGATTTTTCAGGATACAAAAAGCACAAAGCTTATAGAGAGTTGAGGAAATAGGAACTTCATAAAATTACAAAGTTTTGCTCTTTGAAAGATACCATTTAGAAAATGAAAAAGGAAGCTGTGGACTGGAAGAAAATATTTACAAAGGAATTGTATAAATACTGATAAAGGAACTGTATCCAGGATCTAAAGAACATAATGAACTCTTACACAATTTAGTAAGAGATCAACCACATTTTTAAATAATGGGCAAAAGATCTGAACATACTTTTCACAAAAGAACTGACATACAAATGGCCAATAAGTACATGAAAAGGTGCTTCACATCACCCATCATTCGGGAAATGCAAATTACCACTACAATGAAATGTACTATACACCCATTAGAATGGCTAAATTTTCAAAAACTGGCAGTACCAAGTGTTGGTGAGGATGTGAAACAACTAGAACTTTCATACACTGCTGGTGGGAATGCAATTTGGAATAATGTGGAGTTTCTTATAAAGTTAAAGATCTATGTAAGACCCAGCAATTTCACTCCTAGATACACCCAAAAGAAAGATGTGAATGTTTATAGCAGCTCCAGTCATTTATAGCCAAAAAAACTGGAAACAATCCAAATGTCCACCAACGCACCAGCGTATGGATAAACAATCTATGGCACATCCATACAACAGACTACTACTAAACAATGAAAAGGAACAAACCACTGATATCCCAACAACAAAAATGAATCTCAACAACTTTGCTAAGTGAAAGAAATTACACACAAAAGGCTACGTTCTGGGGGTACCTGGGTGGCTCAGTCGTTAAGTGTCTGCCTTCAGCTCAGGTCATGATCCTGGGGTCCTAGGATTGGGCCCCACATCGGGCTCCCTGCTCAGCAGGAAGCCTGCTTCTCCCTCTCCCACTCCCCCTTGCTTGTGTTCCTGCTCTCACTGTCTCTGTCAAATAAATAACTAAAATATATATTTAAAAAAAAGGCTACATTCTGTATGATTATGTACCGTATTTGCTCAATTTTATGTAATTCTAGAAAAACAAAACTACAGTGACAAAAGGAAATCGGGGGTTGTCTTGGGCCAGGAGTGGGAGAGCTGGGGACTGACTACAAAGAGGCAAGGGAGAACTTTCCAGGATGGAAATGTTCTTTATCTTGATTGTGGTGGTGATTCATGACTATGTACCTTTGGCAAAACTTCAAACTGGGTTTGCTTAAAATAGGTAAATTGTACTGTAACTTCTATTTCTTAATAAAGCTGTTTAAACACACACATACAAATTAAGTTTCTCCTAAGAGCCCTTTCAAAGACATGTGCAACAAAATAAATGATAAAGGAATTTTACCTGATCCCAATGTTTAAGGGAGAGTGTAGAGAGAGGTGTAGCATTAGCAAATTCAAGATTTGCAAAATGCCAATCAAGTATTTGTCTGTCTCTTGATGAGAGATACACGTCACTGCAAAATGAAAACAGAGGAGCACAGGTTATTAAAGGACTACTATTCTCAGTGGGCTGATGGGGACAATCTCAGTAACTGAGGAAACCTAAGCCTGGTACTGTGCCTTATATAAAGAAATTACAAGTCAAAAAGTAGGACCTTATCTCCTTTATTACTGGTGCTGAGAGCAGTGCCAAGCTCACTACATAAAGCAAATTACTATCAGGCTTCATTTGTCTTGGCAAGGGTGGGGAGACAGGGTGCCTGGATGGCTCAGCTGGTTAAGCGTCTGCCTTTGGCTCAGGTCCTGATCCCAGGGTCCTGGGATGGAGCCCCACATTGGGCTCCCTGCTCAGTGGAGAGTCTGCTTCTCTCTCTCCCTCTCCCCCTGCTTGTGCTCTCTCTTTCTGTCAAATAAATAAAAATCTTAAAAAAAAAATTATCGGTACCTGGCATTAAAAAAGCGTTTTTGTTTTATAAATACAGCATTTTTTTTTTTTAAAGCAAGAATGGGTAGTATCCCCAACTCCAGAACAGAGTAGATATACTGGAGGCCAGATGCACCATGAAGCACAGTATCAGCATATAAGTATTCACTATCAAAAATCCAATGGAAACAAAGTATAATACTTTCCTAGTCCTCAGAATTATGGGAATTTAAAGCAATCCCACCTTCTATTCCACTCACAGGAAGACAGTATATATTTCATTCAAATATCAGACCTTATAGAGAAAGGTTATCTTTTCAAAAACAAATATATTTAAATATTTAGGACATTCCTACATATTAAAATTACAATCCATTCACTGGACATAAGCAAAAGCCCACAGTGCTTTGTAATTTTCCTTCTAAATATAACAAAGAAGAGCAAAAGCTATCCCTCTGAACATTTGTGTGTTTTCCTCACCTTGGGGGATTGGCTTCCAATTCTTGAAGTTTTTCTTCTAGCTTTCCTTGTGTTTCAGCTAATTCATCATATTCCTGATAAAATGAAGAGAACTGGGTTGATCTTAATGAGTCAGAGACCAACCTAGTTGTTTATACCATAAAGTGTAAGACCTGGACCACCTGCCCGTCCAGGTCATATCTGTGAGTGTGCCTCAGGTTAAGGCTGGATCAGGGCTCAGGGATGGTTGTTCTTGGAGACAAGTTACAGTGTGAGCCCAGAATGAAGATGGGGTGTGGAGGAGGGAGCGGGCATGCAGGAGGAAGAGATAAAGGAAGAATAGCATATTAGTGTGCTACAAAGTAAGAGTGAAAAAGAAGAGCAACTACCACTTCCTGTGCATTTATCATGTCCCTAGCATGGGATAAAGCACTTCAGGTCCCTTACAAAGAAGTATCAACGCTGGTCACAGATGAGGTGATTAAGGAATCTAAGATCCCATGGCTAAGAGGTAAGTTAGGGATTTCAACCAGACAGTTTGATAACAAATGACTGAAATCTATGTTATCATTACTGTAAACTGACAGCGGTAAACTATGACAGGGAGCTAAACTGAAATGTAAGTAAGTTAAAGTACAAGACTGCGAAAACAAAGTAGAAATTCTGCAGAAAAAGCAGATCTCAAACCAAACTAATCCGTTCAGTCCCCTTGGTTCCTGTGTACCAAACCCTCTTCTTCCTACCACAGGCACCTATGATTGGTTAGTGATTCTCCCTTTTCCAAAGTTTCCCAGATCTATATTCTTTCTTAGGATCCCAAGGGAAACCACCTAGGCATGTATGTATACCACACCTTGCACAGGGCAGTCAGATCCCTGTGTTTGCTTTTCACTAAGAACTCGGCAGTGATATCTCTAGGTGGCTTGACCTCAGATGCTTCTTTGTATTGCTGATGGAGTTCTTTAATTTTCTCTTTCAAATTTACCATCTAAGAGGAAAAAATACAAATTTACCATTTCAGATAGTGATGTAATCCATCTCCAAATCACATGCTTCGGTTCCTCCCCTAAACTGCTAGTATACCAAAACAGGTTACAATACAAGGTCCTTGAAACTCTTAAATACCTCTTCTACATGATGACATTTTAGAATAGGAAAAAAAATCCTATATGGTTCAACACAGAGGTATCACATCATTATCAGAAGTGAGACCATTTCTGTCTTCCAAAACAAATGGAGAACCAGGAGTGTTCCATTAATTTAAAAATATATGTGTATATATATATATATATATACACAAAAATCAAATTCCAGGAAAAACAAAGCACCACTTAAACTTATTGTTTTGGGGAACAAATTGTTATGATTTGTTTTCTAAATTATGTAAAGGCTAAATCACCACACAGAACCTTCCAGAGCCATTCCTAATGTTAGTCTCCCAGCTTTCTGATGGTACTGGGTCCCACAGCTATCCTGCCAACTGGCTGTTCTCCAGCCTCTCTGCTCATTTCACACATGCCACACACAATCCATGAAGAAGGTGGGCACAGACCTCTTCTCATCTGACAGCATGAAAAAACAAGGCATAGTGAGAAAGTGAGGCAAGACTGGTCACAAGATACACCCAGATTTTGCATCAAAAAACTCCCCACAGGGGCTGTCCCACTTCATGTTTTCTCCCTAAGCTGATAATACGTTTGCAGGTGGTAGGATTAGGAGAAAACAAATGGTTTCCCAGACTGGAACCAGGCCTCTGCGAAGTGGTGGGAAAGAAGAGCCCTCAGCAGACATACCACTGAGGACTATCCTCATAAATGGCACCTGAAGCAAAATAATTATGGCAATGAATTATGGTCCTGGCTGCAGACTTGTTGTCCCCATCAGTGGGAATTTGACCCCAGTGCAACTGATCTCCCTCTCATCACAGAATCCAGCAGAGGGCACTGAGCTAGCTTTGCCAAAGGGAACCTGACACAGAAAAGATCTATTTCCCCTGGCAACAATTTGCCAATAATACCATACTGAAAAGACGGACAGATAAAACCGTACCTTTTGTCACTTTTTTTTTTTTTTTAAGAATAATGAGTCCCAGCTGCGCGGACCTTCTCTCCCCCCCAGACCAAAACCAAAACTGAAAATTTCTAAAGCCGTCCCCCCCATCTTCAGCTATGAAGAAAATATAAAATTTCACCTTATTAAGAAGTTCTTTCAACTCCTCCTGAGTCTTCACTATCTTCTTCCAATGTTCAATTTGCTCATCTTTGACATGCTTTTCCTGTAACCTAAAAGAGACAATACATATGCCTTGGCCACAAAGCCAGCTTTGCAGCCCAAGATAGGAACCCATCAGAAACATTCAGGGACATCAAAGCCCACTGAAATTTCTAATACTCTGGAACAAGAAAGTTGCTGGGTGGCAAATTATTTTCTAGGCTATGTTAAATATAGTTCAGTACCATAAAAGCTGTGAATTTTAGAACTGAGAGTGGCCTTAAGAATCATTCTTTTTTAAATGGTTTTACTTTGAGATTTAAATTCACATGAAAATAAGTGAAAACTAGCTCAAATAAGACTTGCTGAAAACCTTAAAGTATAATAGCAAATCTCTAAATAGAATTCACTATACAACAAGCAGTATCAAAGTACTTACTGGATGACAACTTCCAATGCCTGGCCAAGGGACACAGGCTTATTATTGAGGACATTGAAGTCTAGCTGATGACTAAGGTAAGACGTAGCTTCTAGCAACCGGTTAAACTCTTGCTCTACCATTTCATCTTTCTCTTTAGGAACCTGAAAATCCGAAGTATAGCAGAGTTGGTCCTTATAATAAGACTAAACATAACCATCCATGAAAACACAAATGCTCTACAGTTTAAAAGGTCAAAATATGTACCTCAAAGGGAAACCTTTGAGGACAATGATTCCAACTTTCTTTTCTATGAAGTGGTCAATTCCATTAAATGAGGTATGAAATGTTTGGCCCTAATATTTTCTATTCTCCCAATTTTGCCCTCCGAGCTGGGACTCCACCTCTATTAACAGCCATAGGATTCACACTGGGTGCTAACTGGTGCTAATTGAAGTTACGTGGAGCACAAGGTGTCCTGGAGCTGACATGCACTGAGAGAAGCTGGGCTGACATGCAAATGACACACTGGAAAAGTCTCAGAGAACAAAAACTATGTCAACACATAGTTTCAACACACCTGAGGACCCTCCAGAATAAGGGCAGGATGGAAAAATAAGAAGCCCAAGGTACTGTCTTTCCCTCAAAGATGAATTTTGGGTGGGAGTAGGGAAGAGAGAAGTGAAGTTCACGACTATAATAATAATGAGAACACAATAGCACCTTCGTTCTTTTGCAGAGTAACAGTGTTTTATGGCACCAATTAAGTTCAGAGTTGAATGTCCAAAGCTCTTAGACTATGAGTGACTGAGGCACCAGGTCTGGCTCACTACTGTGCAAGAAGAGAGCAGACTGCAAAGCAGATCATCAAGCTGCAAGGCCACATTCCTAATCCCTGCTGTGCCCCTGCCTGTTGATATCATCAGTTAGTCAACCCAAATCCCTCTGCTACTGCTTAATTCAGTCCTAAAGTAAACTGCATCTGCAATTTTACTGAATTCACGGTATTCGCAAGAAGGGAAAAGCATATCTAAGGCAAGCATGTCTAAAGCAAGCATCTCTTGCCAGAATAAACTGGGCATCAACTGGGAAATGGGAGTCAAAATATGGAATTTTACTTTACGGCCAACCTAAAATTGGTAGTAAGAAGACCGCATTAAAGAAAGTTCTAATAAACACTAAGGCCAAGGAGGAGTGCAGGGGTAACTTGTGGATGAGATCATCACAGTAAGATTCTACCTCTCATTTGAAATGCCTTAGTTTTTGCCCTTTCCAATTAAAGAGACAATTTTTAAGGCACTAGTCTCCTTCCCTTCACTGAGGAGTTGCACAAGTAACTCTACAAGATGAGCCATGGCGTGGCAAAAGAATATGGCAAGTAGTACAATCTGCACCCAAAAAAGAAAGGGAAAAGGACTGCAACTCTCTTTTGGAACTGTAAATATGACACCATAACTGACCCAATCAGAATCATATTCTAAAGCATCAAATTCTAAAAGGCCAAAGATGGGAGCGATCAGGAAATCTTTATGAATTAGAGAATCCCCCTTGGCCTAAGGGAAATATAAATCCCTGAGAATCTTCTGGTTTATGCTGAGAAATAAGGCAGAGAATCAGACTTTGGATGTTTGGTGCCCTTTATATATGAGTGGTACCTAAGACTTGGTGGATCAAACACATCTGACCTACCTATTCAACTCCATGGCCAAAGGAAGGAGCTCTTGGTGACATCCCTACTAGTTCTGATTACATAGCTATCAGAGCTGATGGATGAGACCCTTTTGGTCAGGAATTTCATTTACTTTCTTGTCAGTTGCTTTTCCTCAGTGATGTGATGGGTCATATACAGAGCAGCGCAAAGCAATGCTGAAATTCTGCTCAGTGTGATTCCTGCAATGATGTTACCAAAGATGGTTCTAGAAACTCTAAATTTGGTGTTTCTTCAAAAAAGAAACAATTACATTTTTAACACGAAATCTATATAGTTATGAGATCTTAACTGATCCCAGATGCAATAGTGCATGACTGCTTTTCCTGGAATACAAAATAGTGATATTTCTATGTGTGGCTTCAAAAATGCCTTAGCAAGAGGATGCTATAGAAGGAAGAGGGACCAGATCACATGTGCCTCTGCAAGAGGGCAGAATGTGCCAATACACAAGTGTGCAAATGGTACAGATTAAAGCTCTTCCAGTGTGAACTGGATGGCTTGCTTCAGACAAGCTTTAATCTTTATAGCTAGGGTGACAGTCACATAGGGAAGTTCATACTAAAAAAGTACGCAGCACTCAGGCTCAGTAACTGGGGTCCAGGGTGTGTGGTAGAGAAACATTTAAAGGGACACTGTCAAGGTTAGAGGGACCAAATTTGACCTTTTGTTTCTTCCCTCTGTTTGCTAAGCAGCCCACTTGATTCATAACACTTTCCCCTTTAGTCCACCCACACACCTCCCCCCCACAAAAACCTTCTTACATGCGCTTTCAATGACAAAAACTCAAATGGCACCAGCCCAACATATAGGCGCAACTCTACAACAACAAACCAGTGTGAATGTATGATGGAGAGGATCTTTGGAAGGGAAAGATCTAAGTTTCAAGCTTTTAATGGGTTATTGTAAACAGTGAAGAAAATGATTTGAAAAATTATAAAAAAAAAATACCTTGACAGTGTCCTTTTAACCAGTGCAGCAGAGAGAGAAATAAACTGTAAATAACAGCCCAACAGCCACGTCAAGTTAAGTTTTGTATGACAGCAGTAAAATCAAGGCTTTAAACACACAGCATGACAGAAGCATTCTGTTAGCTCAGAAGCTGCAACCACCAGAGAAACAAGGAACAGACTGTATAGAGACCAAAATGGGAAAGTCAAGGCACAGAAATGGGCAAAAGAAAGGCAGTTTGGTGGGGGGGTATGAGGGTGGTAAAGGGAGATGGTGTCAGAAAGCAGTGAGGAATAAAGCAAAACAATAAAACAGAAAAGGAAAAACACAGAACAGTAACAAGAACAACAACAAAATCAAACAAACAAAAACCAAACCAAAAGATGACTGCCTCATCTGACTGACACCAGGATGACAGACTGCATCTCTGGCCCACTGACTGGGTCCACTGCTCTAACTGGAGACTCCACTCTCCAGATTACGAGAGACAAAACTTAGGCCCCACCCATTTCCCACCTAGTTAAGCAATTTTAGGACTGTTGCCAGAGAGACCAGGGATAGCATTCAAACCTGGATTTTGTTCCCATTAACTTTAGAATTCCACTTTGAAATTAAAGAAATATTTGGAAAATAGCAGATATTTGTCAATTAGGAAACCAACAATGACTGGGGGAAAAAAACCAAAATGTATTTTTGATATACTTAAATCTTGAATCTGTTTCTAAAATTAAACTAGTCAGATATGTTCTATTTGACATACTCAGACAATGAAAACAACTTTAGCAACTGATTAGCCCCTGAGCACCTCTTAAGTACCTATTTCAGGTCACTGCCCTCCCCTTGGTGAGAACCCTTGAACTGTTAGTTCCATAAATAATTATGGAAAGGAGCTGAAATATTGGCAATCTTTAAACACAAGTCGCAATAATTTTCTTAAATTGCATCCTGAGAAAGGAACTCAGTAAATGACTGAAAGGGGCAGCTTTCTACGACAACATACTGAGGAGATAAAACAGCAAACTAAGCACGGAAAGTATCTTTGATATTGTTCTCTAGCAAAGACTCAAACAAAAAGGCTATCACTTGAAGCAGACTTTTTTTTTGAAACAGATTTTGATTACGACTTTTCAAAGCTATTTATTTCTCTATGAAAGGCTCCAAATAGTTCCTTCAAACTAAGAATCTGGTGTGTCTCATTACTCTAAATAGGTACAATCCTGACTGCTTTGGTCCTATAGAGATTATATGGAGCATCCCTGAGCATGGCTGAGGGAAGAGCAGCCTGGGTATCTAGCTCATGCAGAGTAAATTTAGGGAGAGCCAAGTGACTTTCTGGACAGGGTCCTAATCCTGCAGGAAGTTATTCAGAGGAAGGACAGCTCTCCTCAGTTCTACCTTTGGTTACCTTCTATCATCACAAACCCTTTAGGCCTTCAAAACCCTGTCCATTTCTCTTGCTTCCAGGGTGCATAAACTCTCCAGCAGTAGAGCAAAATGGAGTTAGGTGCAGTTAGGTTCTGGGCACCCAAAGGCTGGAGATTTAGCCAGAGAAATCCTCAGGAAGAATAACACAATGAAAAAACAGCTGTAACACAATGAAAAAACCTGGCCAACAGAAGCTACAGTAAATCTCTGCCTCTCCCATTCCCATGCACTTCTAGAATTAAGATTAGTTCCTTTGGTAAAACCTGGAAGAAAAATTTATATCTGAAGAGTCTCTAATTCAGATTCCCAAATAACTAAAAGAAATGAGATATCCTTAAAGGGAGAAAAAGGACAACAGGAATATCCTTAATCCAAATAAAATTATGATTCTATAAATGGAGATGGTTGTCCACCCCCACTTTTTTTTACCTCATTAGAAATCATTTAGGGGATATAAATAATGGACTTCTCTAAAGCAGTAACTAAGCTGCGTGGAGAAGGCACACACAACATGTCTAAGGAGTTCACTCTAGCAGTTTCTAGCACACAGTAGAGGTGCTCTATAAATTCTTATGAAATGAATAAATTAATAAAGTTTGAAAAAGCAAAGTCAGTATTATAATTATATTTGAAAGGAAGTAACTATTTTGCAACTTTAGGAACATTAAAGGAAGACATGAGATTTTTACATTTATAAAAAAGCGAGGATTAGAAGATTTTAAAAGATAGAGAAAAACCACCTTTAAAATACCAAAACTTGGGGTGCCTGGGTGGCTCAGTAGGTTAAGCGTCTGCCTTTGGCTCAGGTCATGATCTCAGAGTCCTGGGATCAAGCCTCACATCGGGGCTCCCTACTCAGCAGGGTGTCTGCTTCTCCCTCCCTCTCTGCCCCTCCACCCTGCTCATTCTTTCTCTCTCAAATAAAATCTTAAAAAAAAAAAAAAAAAAAAAAAAAACTGTTTCTACAAAGGAATAGGAAAACTGAAAAGGCCAGAAGGCGTGTGTCAAAAGTATAACCAACCTAAGCACCACTCCATATGAATGCAAATGACAACCTGCTGAATTGAGGTAGGTACAGAG